TAATATGAAAGAGGTGAATTACGGTTGGACAGACATGTAGGTTTTGTTTACATTTTGTTTCGTTCACAACGTGTACATTTGGCTCAGTCCTTAAGGGGTTAAGGACCTTGTGATGGTCTACACCTTTATTATTGTTATTATTATAATTATGATATTAATAGAGCGCCGTCAAATTCCGCAGCGCTTTACAATGGGTGGACGAACAGACATGTAGTTGTAACCAGACAAGTTGGACACACAGGAACAGAGGGGTTGAGGGCCCTGCTCAATGAGCTTACATGCTAGAGGGAGTAGGGTAAAATGACACAAAAAGGTAAAGATAGTATTAGACTAATAACAGTTGCAGAAGAGGAATCAGTCATTTATGCAGTAGAGGACTTTATTGTCCAGGAACAGTATAGAGCTGAGTCACAATTAGTGGCCTAGACAGAAAAATGGAAAAAAAAAGAGAAAGTTAGAGCATGTCTGTTTGACCCTACAATCCCTCAAACACCTGGCAAAGGTACACACATTGGCAGGGCCGGCCTTAGGCCTTTAGACACCCTGTGCGAAAAATCTTCACAGCGCCCCTCCCCCCGTCATCCATTTATGATGTAATGTTTGTGTTGTCTGTGTATGTGATAGTAGGTGTGATGACTGTGTGTGATATGTATGCTATGTGTTGGCTGTGTGTGATATTTGTAATGGGTGTATTAACAGTGTGTGATATGCGTGTATTGGTTGTATGTGATACACACACACACACACAGTCAGATGGCCATACACACACAGGAAGACATCCACACACACACAGGCAGACAGTCACACACACACTGGCAGACAGTCACGCACACACACACACACACACACACAAGCAGACAGTCATACACACACAGGCAGTCATGCACACACACACACAGACACACACACAGGCAGTGATGCACACACACAGGCAGACAGTCACACACACACACAGGCAGACAGTCATACACACACACACAGACACACACACAAGCAGACAGTCATACACACAGATACACACAGGCAGACAGTAACACACACACACAGGCAGACAGTCATACACACAGACACACACACAAACACAGGCAGACAGTCACAGACACACACACACAGGCAGACAGTCACACACACACACACACTATCACACTCACACTGACAATCACACAGTTACCTGTGGAGCTCCTGGAGACTGTTTGGTGGGGAAGCAGGGACTCCTTCCTGCTTCCCCTGCAGCAGTTTTCCAGCTCTTTTAGCTCTGCCTCGCCGCACGGGAAGCTCCGCCCCGCCACACGGTAAGCTCCGCCCCGCCACAATTTTTTTTTTTTTTTATTCCGGCCGGCCATGTGTGAGTTGTGTTGGCCGCAGGGCGCCCCCTGCTCCATGGCGCTCTGTGCGGCCGCACAGCTCGCACACCCCTAAGGCCAGCCCTGCACATTGGATTTCAACAGCAGAATATAAATATGCAGTTGTTACAGTAATGAGTAAACCATGGTCTGTGAAATTCCCCATGAAAACTAAACACGTATGAAAAACACAAAAATATAAATATAAGCAGCAGATGTAACTAAGGTTGATGATGAAATAGTTAACTGAAGTTCCAAAATGTGAGTAGTTAAATATTCTGGGAGATCTACTTTCTACTAATATATACTTTTGTGAATCGGTTTTGAATCCTGTAATTACATTTAAAGTTGTAATCTCATTATGAGAAATTTTGCAGGTTAATCTTTAAAACCTTAAATCACTGCTCGTAATATTTGCTCTATAACTTCCAAAAATAAACTGAAATCCTAGATTTATGAGTCATTTTAACAATGAGGCCTAATTAGAGAATCTATGTTGAGTTAGATTTCTTTAGTTGCAGTGTGGAAAAAAAAATATTTTTGTTTCCATATGTTAAAATATTTTATTGATATTTAATGCTGTATTAGATATAGAAATAAGTTACCAAGGGAAAGTTATATTCCTCCTTTGAAAATGCTATACAATATGTATGTGTACATTTAAAAAAAAAGAGTGAAATTGTGGTAGAATTAATGCATGTCAAAAGTGCCAAGAGGGCTGTGGTCATAAATGTACTGCAGCTCAAAATGTTCCCTGGTCCTTAAGGGGTTAAAAGATAACTTAAGAGGGAGGGAGAAAGCTCTTGTCTTCTGCACTAAACTGGTAAGGAAGTGGTAAATAGAACGTCTCTAATAGAAACATTACTAACATTGGTGTTGAAATGCCAACCGGATGTGTCGATAGTCTTGACCCACTTTCCTAATGGGGCAGGAGGTTGCTTTCTTTTTTACTGTACAAAATGCAATGCTTTAATTGATGGATTTTTAAACCAAAACATCATGAATGATCAGGTAAAACTGTGCTCAGAGATGTTACCAGGTTAGCAGCAACATATACTACAGACTGCCACGAGTGAGCCACGTGAACACCTTGTAGATTCAGAACCTGCATCCTGTGTACAGTGCACTATTCTCTTTTTATTTCATTAGTTCTGCTATATATATTTATTTACTGTTTTTTTTGTACTACTTTAGCAACTCAGATATCTATTTTGATTTAAATGCTAGGATGCTCTTTGTGTATAAATCTTCAGACACACTGTATAAACAGAGTTTTACAGGGTTATACACTTAAGTGAGAATTCAACGTGAATTCAAAGCTATTTGACTAGTTGTCCATTCTTAGTATTCTCTTGCATCCTATTTTTTTTCTCTCCCCAAGTTTAATGGGTAATCCATACATGGACCCCTTGCGCATGGTGCCCAAAGGGATATGGGTTATATCTCACTGACACAATATCTAACAAGGTAGAAACGATCGGCTGAGATTGCTGTATCTCTCGTGCAGAGAGAGCCGGCCAGCATTTTGGATCTGTTCCACCATTTTGGGTGGGATCATACTGATATGCAAATGGCCTTGGTTCTTTTTGTAATGGCACAAGATGAGCGAAAACCAGCTCTGAAATCTGAGCGGGGATGCACCAAAGGGCAGGCTATTTAAGCTATTCTCAGCATTCTCTTGCATCCTGTTTTTTTGTATTCAAAGTGAATTTCAAATTTAAGGTCATAATACACAATACTACTCTGGCCAAATGTTTGATATTAACTTTGAATTCTGACTTTCAGAAATAACCCTGTCTGTGTACTGCAAGTAAATCTGTTTTCAAATACCTACATCTGGATGGGTATTTCTGTATTCCTGCAGATTTTTATTAAAAAAGAGGAATTCTTAAAATTGCCATTTTCTAATCTATATTTTTAATTGGAAATGTCTATAAATTGCACATCCTACCAAGAGCATAGATATGCAATCAGACACAGAACCACACAGCTTCACTTTACAGTAATTCTGTAGAAAAACAGGAAATGTACCAGTTTCCTCTTATCGCAAAAGATGTTATTTAGTTAGTAATCTCAAACAATGTCTAAACAATAGACTTTGGCGTCGCTGGAATTTTTGTTTCACTCAAATACATTTGTCCAAAAGAAAAAGTATGTTTTATTCTATCTATTGATTGTAACAAATCAAATTTTCTATGAAATTTGTTTGGATTAGTCCCAACTTTATATTGTCTGATTTAATATATTTTTAGAAACCGTTTTACTTTGTTCTCATACAGATGGTAATTAAACTGAGAGTACTAATTAATCATTGACAATCTTTTTGAAAAACAATTGTTAGAACAACTTTTTGCTCAGCAGCTTTAAAGCAAACAATGTATTTAGTTTTAGCTTGTTGACACATTCTGTTGGAAGTAATGCCAATTCCTTAATTTTCTCGAGGTAAAACAGATGAACACGTACATTAACTGATATGCCCTAAGGATATGTTAATCTTGATAGTGTCATCTTTAAGATTATGGAAACAAACTTACGTTATCCTTGAGTAAACAAAATTAATGACTAATTCAAAAATTTCAAAAATGTTGCAACATCATCTGTGAGCAATTAAGTAAATTACATTCAATCAAGACAGATATCCCATGTTGTTTTTATCTATCTTCCTTAATATCCATCCATACACTTGTGATTGTTAAATTTTGTGTAGTTTGTACAGAAACACCTACGTATTATGTATGCATATACACTATTATCATTAAGGAGAATATTTTTGCGAAGTATCACACCAAATTCTATACCTTTCCAGAAAAGCATGTTTGTGGATTTCCTTTGCATTCCTTGTTTCTCCAGATGCAGACCTGCACCCTGATTACCCTCAGCAATATCAAACATTTCATGAAAATTAGGCTGACATAGCCAAAGTTGGTACATTAGAAAACAGGAAAAAAACTTCAGGCACTTACGGAATTAAAGCCACAGGCAAGCTTACTAGATCAAGAAGGCAAAGCATCATTTTGACCTACTGAGACATCTACAGCATACCTCTCAGTAGGTCTAAACATTGCTTTGACTTTTTGATCCAATAAACCTGCCCGTGTCTTTAATTCTGTGAGTGCATGAAGATTTTTTTCTGTTATATGTGTGTGGGTCTTGCTGGTCCTGCTTCAGTGCACCTGATTTTAAGTGGATTTGAGTGCAGTTCTTTTCTGTTTCAAAGTTGGTAAAAATTTTTTCAAGATTAGCTGTTTTTGCCTACATTTTTCCAGTTGAATTCTAAATTGCTAAAATTCAGAGATTAGTGAGTACAACATTTAAGTGCGCTGTGTCAGCGGAGTTAGCAGAGCTGAGATAGTAATTCATTGCTCTAAGTATTCGTTTCAAATGCATTGAGAAATATGGAGGGAGAGGAACATGTCTTTACACTTTACTATAATTAACATTCCATAATTCATGCCAAACTGCAGAAGATTAGAACTTTGGATAGATAATAATTGGCAGAAAGTTGGCTTCATAATCACAGGTTCAATTACCAGTGAAGTAAAATCCACCTTTCATTCTCCCAAGATCAAAAATATGGGTATCAGTAATTTGTGTAATAACACAATCTATGCTCTGGGATATTTGTGATTCTTTGATATTTACGTCACATACAAAAGATAAACTCATATTGTAGACTTTATTTAATAAATAATATGTTGTAAGCAATACATGCAATAAAACAATCTCAACAATATATATTTTTACTCAAATGGAATAGCAAACCTTTAGCAAAATGTAAATACATTGACACATGTATTAAGTGGTGGCTTGTGTATTAAGGTGGCACAGTGCCAGATACTAACCATGGAATTTGACTCCACTCCCTCAACCAAGAAGCCCCACTGATACTTTGAACTTATATGAAATGTCAAAAGAAAAATAAACATTTTGCTTTTTCTAATTTTGTTTACCATTTGAGCGCCAGAGGTGTGATCAGCACATTGCAAATAATGTGTATGACACATTTGTTAAATTAAATGAGTTAAAGGGACACTCCAGGCACCCAGACCACTTATGCCCATTGGAGTGGTCTGGGTGCCAACTCCCACTACTCTTAACCCTGCAAGTGTAATTATAGCAGTTTTTTTATAAACTGCAATAATTACCTTGCAGGGTTAACTCCACCTCTAGTGGCTGTCTAATAGCTAGAGGGCACTTCCTGGTTTCTAGCACAGGAAACCTGTGCTAGAGCATCGCTGGATGTCCTCACACTATGTGAGGACCTCCAGCGTCGCTCATTTCCCCATAGGAAAGCATTGAAAAGCATTTTAATGCTTTCCTATGGGGAGCTCTAATGCGCATGCGCGGCATTGCCGCACATGCGCATTAGGTCTCCCCGGCCGGTGGGAAAATTATGTAGTGCTAAGTATTCAGGAACTACGTGATACAATACATTAAAAAAATGAAATTTATTACAGCTGTCAAGACAATACAATGCTGGAATTGAGGGACACATTTTCAGCAGACCTATACTGAGCTGGGGTTGGGGTATATATTATCAGCAGACACATACAGAGCTGGGATTGGGGAACATGTTATCAGCAGACACATACAGAGCTGGGATTGGGGAACATGTTATCACCAGACACATGCAGAGCTGGGATTGGGGGACACATTATCAGCAGACACATACAGAGCTGGGATTGGGGGGCACATTATCAGCAGACACATACAGAGCTGGGATTGGGGAACATGTTATCACCAGACACATATAGAGCTGGGATTGGGGGACACATTATCAGCAGACACATACAGAGCTGGGATTGGGGAACACGTTATCACCAGACACATATAGAGCTGGGATTGGGGGACACATTATCAGCAGACACATACAGAGCTGGGATTGGGGAACATGTTATCACCAGACACATATAGAGCTGGGATTGGGGGACACATTATCAGCAGACACATACAGAGCTGGGATTAGAGGGCACATTATCAGCAGACACATACAGAGCTGGGATTGGGGCACATTATCAGCAGACACATACAGAGCTGGGATTAGGGGACACATTATCAGCAGACACATACAGAGCTGGGATTGGGGGACACATTATCAGCAGACACATGCAGAGCTGGGATTAGAGGGCACATTAGCAGAAACACACACAGAGCTGTAATTGGGGGCACATTATCAGCAGACACACAGAGCTGGGATTGGGAACATGTTATCACCAGACACATATAGGCTGGGGTTGGGGTATATATTATCAGCAGACACATACAGAGCTGGGGTTGGGGAACATGTTATCACCAGACACATGCAGAGCTGGGATTGGGGGACACATTATCAGCAGACACATACAGAGCTGGGATTGGGGGACACATTATCAGCAGACACATGCAGAGCTGGGATTGGGGGACACATTATCAGCAGACACATACAGAGCTGGGATTGGGGAACATGTTATCACCAGACACATGCAGAGCCTGGATTGGGGGACACATTATCACCAGACACATGCAGAGCTGGGATTGGGGGACATGTTATCACCAGACACATGCAGAGCTGGGATTGGGGGACACATTATCAGCAGACACATACAGAGCTGGGATTAGAGGGCACATTAGCAGAAAACACACACAGAGCTGTAATTGGGGGACACATTATCAGCAGACACATATAGAGCTGGGATAGCGTGGCATATTAGTTATCTGTCAAATATTTAAAATTGTATTTTTGTGTATGTGCTATTACCTTAATAGGTATTTTTACAAAAACAACTAATTGGTTTGACACTACTTAAGAGCTGCTATGGATGAGCCACCATTGTATTTTTATACAAGAGCTAATGTTTGACCGTTGTGTAAAGTGAACTTCCATCTTCGTTTTGTCTCATTACGTTTTGGGTTTGACTAGTTGATCCATGTTGGAGTAAAACGTACAAAACATCTTCGGACCTCTTCTGTTATATTTTTCAATCAATAAAAAGGAGAAAAAAATACATTTTTAATGGGATTTTTTTCCCCCCTCGTTTTCTTTGATGGCAGTAACTCACATATAGATAATACAAAATTAAATAGAAAAACAAACAATTCTTTACATTTAATATGGCTTCATAAATTGCTTAACACAGTCGAGAATTTTTTTAGTTTTAAGGAATCACCTTAGAACTGATTTCTGTCAGCTTTTAGACAATAATTTACATTTTCCTTTATAAATATCTCCCTTCTCTGCATATTATAGAAGAGTCATGTTTACCTAGATCGTAAGTAACCCAGCTTTAACAAATCGTTTGCTACTTTAACTTTCACAGCAATTTACCTCCAGGTCTGTAAACATTAATGTAATGCTTAGGATTAAAGTGAAAATGTTTTGGTGGATGCATTATGCTAAATAGTTGCTATTCTGAATGCAAAGTACTAGACAATGTATTGCTTTGCATGGTGATTGCTCATTATCTAGCAACTTACCCCGGAATAGCAGCAGCATTTGAGTAGCTGGAGTATTCAATTTCTTGAATTTATAACATACAGGTCTCTGTTGGCATTATTTTCAAAATCAGAAATTGTGGGAAAGTTGACATTAATATATATATATATATATATATATATATATATATATAGTTTTAGACCACTCTAACCAAGCTGTAAATAAAGCAATGTTGGAGAATATTTCCTCCTTTCCTTTTGACGTCTTTGGTTTAAATTCTTTATCAGTTGTCCACCATTCAGAGTTTAATGAATAATCCATTGCTGTGAGTAAAGAAAGAGTATGGGAACTGATGTTATAAAGGCTTTAATAGGAAACCAAGATACAGAAAATAACTCTGGCAAGTCACATTGCGCACCCAATGTTGTTTTCTGTATCTGGTTTCCTATTCAAGGGAATATAGCCACCCAGATCACTTTGTCTCATTGAAGTGGTCTTGGTGCAGTACCTCTATCTGTTTAACCTAGCAATGTAAAACATCACAGTTTCTGACAGTGGCGTACACACAATCCATGGGGCCCCGTTGCAAAAGTGACCCATGACCCCATCCTCCGTCTCCCCTCCCCCACAACAGACACATACACACATACATACAGACCCATGCATACACAGAGACACACACAGACAGACAGATACATACAGACACATACACACAGACACACACACACACACACACAAGACACATACATACATACATACATACACACAGGCAGATACAGACAGACATACACACTCACAGACACACACACATACATACAAAGACACATACATACATACACACATACAGACAAACACAAACATATACAAAATATTTTAGTCACTCTCCTTTTTCCTACCTTTTACGTGCAGGAGGGTGACATTCCCTGGGGTCCAGTGGTGGCTCAGGTTGATGGGAGTCCACTCTGACTCCCTGTCCTTCATCCCACGCAGGCTTTGTGTGATTGCTGGGAGGAGTGACGGGGCAGTCACATCCTCCCAGCAGTTATGTGATTACAGGGGGCCTGGTCGTGCTCTTAAAGCACCAGTGCTGACCGGGACCCCCTGAAAATCCATCTCTGTTGGGTGGCCCTAACAGTATGGGCCACTTGATTGACGGCACTGGTTTCTGAGAAATTGCTATGAATACATTGCAGGGTTAACTCCACCTCTAAAGGCTGTCTTCTATGTCCCTATCCTCACGTTTTGCATAAGGACATCAAAGCTAAGATTGAATGTGTGTGAAGTGCTTGTCATGCATGCACTCTGGATTCCACCATCAGCATGATGTCCCGGGAGGAGGATACCAAAGAGAAAAAGGGGAACTGCACTCAATCATAAAAACCACAGGATGCTAACTGAGTATGGGTCAGCATATCCCATAAGAACAAGTATAAAAGGAAAAATCTCAGGCTCTCACTTTGATGAATCAAGCAGATTTATTTGACACCACAATGTTTCGAACTGTACCCAGGTCTTTATCAAGCTGTGAAAGTAGGTCGAAACATTGTGGTGTCCAATAAATCTGCCTGATTCATCAAAGTGAGTGCCTGAGATTTTTCCTTTTATACTTGTTCTTATGGGATATGCTGACCCATACTCAGTTAGCATCCTGTGGTTTTTATGATTAAGTGCAGTTCCCGATATTTTTCCTTTTATACTTGTTCTTATTGGATATTCTTATTGGATATGCTGACCCATACTCAGTTAGCATCCTGTGGTTTTTATGATTGAGTGTAGTTCCCCTTTTTCTCTTTGGAGGAGGAGACTTAGCCAGCACAGAGTGAAGCTTAGCAATGGAAAAAGGTACATTAAAAATGGTTTATAACCCTCTACTCATTGAACAGCGGGGTGGGGGTGGACCTTCAAAATTAGGGACACTATAGCATTAGCAATAGAGGTTTGTATGCCTGATGCTATAGTGTTTCATTAAAGCCCTGCATTATAACTTATTGTGAATGCCCAGACTGTTTCTTTTCTCACAACATTGGTCTATGAGGTTTTTCACCTTGGGTTACAGAAGCACAGATAGAGGGGTTAAATGGCTGATTGTTTTTTTGTGTGTGATGTCCCTTTTTCCCTGTGGATTACAGAAGAAACACATTGAGACTCAAATCATCCTAATACAATCACAGTTGCATAACATCTTACCTGTGGCTTAGAATATAGTGCTGACACATCATTACTGTCTGGATCACTTCTCTTGTCCGGATTCCTAAAAAGGAATCACAATCATTATATTACCTTTAAAGGTTTTGTTAACCTTACTACATAACCATCTGTCCAGTTTCTGATTTTAAAGACAGAATGTAGGAAGCGAAATAGAAACATCGTGAAAAACTGCTTTTTTAAGCAGTTGCATGCCCTAAAGAACTGTAATGCAATGTGGATTTCAATGTGAAATCAAAATGAATTTAAAATTTTAGGCTAAAATAGCTATATTAGAAAAAGTCACAAAGTGAAAGAATAAGTCTAACTGATTGCATTGGTGTCTCTCACACATTTCTAAAGAGAAAGACTGTTGATTAGACTATTTGTTGATTAAAATCTGTAGATGTACCATGCCCAAAACTTTCAATATTTTCTTTTTTTTTAGATTTACTGTTGTATCGAATTAAAACCCTGTCTTTTTCTCTTTGTTTGTTAATGACAAACAAGCTCTGATTGCATCTTGATTCTGTCACATTTTGAAAGACAGATCTGATAATTGAAGAAACTGAGTAATTCTTAATGTACTTGAAATTGCATTGGACCTGTCAGCCATTGTTAGGGCTACCCTTAAAGGAACACTATAGGGTCAGGAACACAAACATGTATTTCTGACCCTATAGTGTTAAAATCACTATCTAGCCCTCCTGGCCAACCTTGCCTTCTCAAATATAGTAAAATCTTATTTATTTACAGTCTGCCGGTGAGATTGTAAAGGAGGCAGGCCAAACACAGCCCTGGCCAATCAGCATCAGCATTGTAGCAATGCATTTCTATGAGGAAAGTTCAGTGTCTCCATGCAGAGCGTCGAGATGCGGAACGTCTGTGCTGCACACTGTGCAGCACTGCCCCAGGAATCATCTCTAGTAGCTCAACTGAGGAGTGGCTACTGGAGGTGTCAACATGGAGCAATGTAAACACTGTCTTTTCCCTGAAAATGCAGTGTTAACAGCAAAAAGGCTGCAGGTTTTGCCTGTACTCATCAGAACAACCACATTAAGCTGTAGTTGTTCCAGTGACTATAGTGTCCCTTTAACATTTGCAGGGCCGTGGTCAAGAAACTTTCTTGGAAGTGACAAGCTTCAGATCCCCATAGTGCTAGGATAGGACATGAGCACAGACATGAAAGAAAATATCTATCTCTGTCTTAGCAAACGAATAAATTAAAACATAAACAAACAGAAAGTATTAACACTAACCCAATAGACACGGAATACACGTGTGTACATACACTACACAACTCTCTTCCTAAATCCAGCGATGCAATGCACTAACTTATTTAATGTACAGTAAATAACTGAAAACAAAGCGTTGTGTAAAGCAAATGAATGAATGCTTGAACTTTTCCCAGCACGGTAGTGATGTGCATTATTAGGACTTATGTATGTCTTGGAATTTTTGTTCTTTAAAGTGTGCTCTTTATGTACTTTTGCAAAAATTAGGCTAGACTGCATATCTGCAAATATTTAGACACGGTAGATGGGAATGTTTAAAATCAAGAGACTATGGC